TGGGACACTAAGCCCAGCATAACAATGGCTGGGCAAGTCCCTAAGCGTGGCACACTTGTCATTCCATTAAAATGGCATTATCCACAGTTCTGTGTCCCCACATGGTCTGGCTCTGAAGCCACATGTCTGTATGTGGCTATCCTAGGTACCTCCTCTGTGTGAGCATTTCTGTTAGTGTGTCTTCTTTGCCATCAAGGAGACCTGAAGTCTTGATTTCCTTGTTGCATCTGTCCATCTATATCCTTTTGGGACACCTTTATGTTTTCCATATCCCCCTCAGTACTTATTGGAAGCCTTTGTAGGTAAGCAGAGTGGAGACCATGGACATATACAGGCACACAGCAGCCTCTTTTGTGGCTGGCAGTACACTTAGCCTGTAGGTAAGATGTGAAAATTTTATTTGTGAGTGATAGATGCAGGAGGGGATGCATTTCACCAACTGCGGCATCTGCAGATAAGTGCTAAGATCATCATGAGCAGGCACTGGGGGGAAAGACCCAAGAGCCACTGCCCTCAAGGGCCTTGCAGCATGCATGGAGCAAGTAGAAGAGACCTTTCCTAACAGAAGGGCCTCAAATGCTAATCAGTAGTATGGTGGGGGTGGGGTAGGGCTGAGGCTGTCACTGTGACACAATACCTGGCAGAAGCAATTTAAAAGGAGAGAAGGGTTTATTTGGCTTATAGTTTCGGAGCTTTCAGTTGGATCTCAGAACAGCATCTCACATCATGGTAGCCAGGTAGCAGAACGAATGCCTGTGTTGGCTGCCTTTCTGTTTCCCCTTCTTCATTCCACCCACGCCCCTGTCTCTGGAACAGTGCTGTTCACACCAGGGGTGGATCGTCCTTGTTCAGTTCTCTCTGGAAATATCCTCACAGGCATACCTGGCAGCAAGCTTCATTATTCAGCCAGTCGCTTTGTAACCCAACCAAGAGACAATCAATATCAATAGTTACTCAATTGTACATGTATTTTAATGATTTCATCTTCACACTTGTTGGAACTAGTGAGCTGCATGCAGAAGTGATGATGACACTTCTGCCAGGGGACCTCCGACCTTCCTTTTCTCCTGACATAGTGTCCTTCATGGTCTCTATCAGTCTGGGTCCTTGAGTAACTGTATGAAGCAAAGAGCTATCTCTAACTACACTAGGTATGAAGATGAATGTGTTGCCTCAGCATCGCTCTAATATAACTTCATTCAGATAGAAGCAACAAGGTATATGATCACCATGTAAGGAACTCTCCACTTACGGTTACTCCCAATTGTAGTCATGGTCTTTTTTTGTGGTGCATCTTTCAGTCCCTCCTCCCTAGGTCCTTGTTGGTTAGTTGGTTCCTTCCCATTTATGTCACAGTTATAGCATGGTCAGATAGATAGGAATATTCCTGATCACCTAGGCCCCAGTGCATGGCCTCAAGCTACTCTGCACCACAATGCATATTTCTTACACTCCAGGCAGTGTTTTACTTATTGTCTATTGTCTCCTTGTTTCATGGCAGGCATAATGACCCCAGGAATGTACAGGAGACTTGTCAATTGCCGTATTGTCAGAATTGTGACTGGTACAAAGCTCCACAAACAGCTGAGTGAAACAGATGAGCAGGTGAGTGAAAGATTGAGAAGGCAGGAAGATCACTAAGGGCAAGTGTTTAAGCAAGGGTCTGGGAGGAGGTAGTCTTTTGAGGCCAGACCAAGGGTGGGAACACACAGGGTAGCCTGGGGTGACCATGAGTTGAGTGAATTGGCTGGCATAGAAGAATACAAATGAGAAGAAGGTGGGTGAGAACCTCAAACATTGTTCCATGTATTACCTAAGGGTAAAGGGCAGGTAGCTCTCCAAGAAGAATGACTAGGAGTAAAACTTGAGGGTCTGAGACAGGATGCCTAGGAAGGCATTGAGAAGCTACAGACAGATAGAGGTGAAAGGAAAGCCCAGGACACAATCATAAGACTGAAAACAGTTCAGCAGGCTGGTAATGATGGATTGATACAACTTTGTCTAGCAAAGCTCCCTGCTGCTCATTGGTCTAGGACAGGAGGGAGAGGAAGCCAAGTGCAGAACTCAAATGCTCTGTCTGCTGGAGCCCTGAACTCAGTGTTCTCCACTGCAAGGCAGTGCCTCTCTGAGCCTCCTAGGAATATCCAGTCTAAGACAGTCAAGAACAACAACCAGGCCAATATCTGAGTGAACTCATTCCTGAGTGGAGACTCAGCACACCATTGCATGGCAGATTGTGACAAGCTTAGACCAAAACAGCACAGGTGTCTGCATCTGCATGGTAGAATCTGAGTTCCAACCTTAGCAAAGAGAAAATACACTTCCCTGTTGACCAAAATGTACACATGAACATTATATGGGCCAAAAAGAATGTGTATGTGTATGTGTGTGTGTGTGTGTGTGTATTTAAGAATAAATTAAGTGTATTGCTATCTTTTATGGGACACTGAGCAGTGGCTTAGCAAATTGGAGGGGGCTGAGATTTCTGGGTAAGGAAGAGAGTTGGAAGCAACCGGCATAGGTTCACAGTATTGACATGTTGTACAACCTTGTGTATGGATGTGGTTCTAATGATTGAGTCTAGGATCTCCTGAATGCTAGGCAAGTGATCTTCCACTGAACCATGCCCCAGATCTATAGTTCATTTTGTTCATGACCTTAAACAACAGATTATGTACAGCCTTGCACATGAGAAGTGTTCACCAGATATTTATTACTAAGTCTTTATAAATTATCATTATTGACGACTTTCTCTTCTGTCTTACATAAGAAAAGTAAAATATCCATAGGGCCAGGAAGAGATTTCTGCTCCATCATTGGCTTCCTGTTTCCCTCATCTCCACTTCTGCACACACACTCACTAATCCTTACAGGAGCAACTGCCTCCTGGCTCTGTTCTGTGGTATCCTAGCATCCCATGATCCTTCCTGAGGAAGTCTGCAAACATAAATCTCTGTCATGTCACTCTTCAAAAGCTCTACTATGGTACTGGGTTGGGATCAGCAGAGAACAGGCACATTCCTTTCCTCTTCTGCTGTTTCTTCCCCATGGACAACCATGGTCAACTTTAAGCTCTGTCTTGGCTCCACAGTTCTCTTCCAGTCAAGAGAAGGGAGTCACTGGTTTTGTGGGGCAGTCTGGAAAACAATTGTGGCAGTTTTTGCCTGTCTGCTGCCCCTGCCCTTCTGTTAGGAGCAGAGTGCCTGCGGTGAAGGTATTCTGCACCCTGCCAGGTCCCAGCCCCAACCCTTACAGAGCTCTTCCATGCACTGTGAGAGTGCCGATCTGTGAACAGCTCACTAGTGGGGAACATTCATTGGCTCCCCTGTTGTGTTATCTCTAGCAGGGAAGCAGTTTTCAGTTTTAAAGCCCACACTCTGACTGTTGTCCACCCCTGCCTTGATCTTACTTTTCATTTGACTCAGTAATCAGGACGGAGGGACTACACTATTCACTGCAGCCCATACAAAAGCAACACATTCCACTGTCTATGAAAGTAAGCAGAGTCCTCAGCCTGCCATATCAGATCCTCCACCAAAAGATAAAGGTATGTGTCAGTCAACTCCCTAGTCTCAACTTCCCATTCCACTGTGCCCTGGGTCTGTCATGGGCCCTGATACAGTCACCAAACTAGGGTTCTCTGGTCTCCTATAAATGTGTCATGCCATCTCTGCCCCGTATATTCAGCTTGGGTCTTTCTACTATGCTGGCATTTACACCCACGAAAATTCTTTCAAGCAGTCCAAGTGACCCATAAGCCACTTTCTGAGCCCTCTCTATTTCCTTCGCATTTCCTCATCTTGTTTCTTTGCCAGGAACTTCCCTTTGCTTGGTATTCTTCCCTTCGTGCATGCGGCTAGGCACCAGCTACTCTCCCACTATGTGTCCACCTCCAAGTCTCCCTGAGTGACCTGGAAAATGGGGTGCTTCCCCCAACTGTTCCACAGAACACGGCACAGCATATTACCAAAGACGCCAAGTTAAAAGCACCCTCTGATTTTTCTCAAGAAGCCTATGAAGGAACTCAAGCGATACCACATAGTTAGATGCTCCCAGGGAACAGTGTTGTCACTCTCTTTCCGAGGGTAAGCTCCTAGACCAGCAGGGACAACAAAGGTGGGTGCCACTGTGTGAACCTCATGGTAGAGGGAGCTACAGAGGAGCCTCCAGAACCTCAGGGTCTCACAGGATACTGTCTGAATCAGCTGTCGCCCTAACCAGGCAGGAGATGGGACATCATGCCACTGACTCAACTTCCCTAGGAGGTTAGGGAGAATCTGGGCTGCCCAGTCCATAAAATAAAGAAGGAAATCCCAATTTGAAGAGGAAGGGGTGCATCCAGGCCACCCAGATTAAGCGAAGCATGGAAGAGTCTCTGTGATGGCCCTCCCCCATCCAATGAGCAGGAATGCCAAAATGTGTCTCAGGCAACAGCAGGTCCCAGCTCAAATGACATGACTGAATGTGGAGGCCATGACATTTTCCTCACTGGCTTGAAGCTTGGGAAGTCTGATAGGCCTCTTTGAAGTCTGCTTAGAGCCTGGGGAATGTGCGGGTTTGAGAGGCCAGATAAGACCCTCTCAGGTTCAAGTATCAAGATGCTTTCTTTGCTTTCTACATGCTGCTGGGAAAATGAGGAGGGCTCAAGTTCTGTAATTTCTCACAGGAAATGTTAAATCTGCCCTGCTACTATGTTGGGGTAAAAAAAAAAAAAACAGACCTCATAGATTAAACAAAAGGGAGACTGATTCTCAGTCACACAAGGCAGTCAATATCGGCCCTTGGTCTCCTGACACACACAGAACAGGAAGGGTTCCCACTAAAGGGAAGCCCCTTAGCTTGCCCTGGAAGAACACAGCCATCACCCACCTTCATTCTTACAATCAAATGTACAGAATCCTGTTCCATCTCATCTGTCATTTTGGGTCATTCCTATCAAACACCTTGCACATACTGAACTGACCGCATTCAAGATGACCCAAGACAAAGTGACACAGTACCGATTTTGGTGAGCCACTTGGCTACAGCACCATAGATCTCATCCAAGATGAGGATGACCACAAGGTTGATGATGACTGCTGTTGCAGTCACCGTTGCCCGGACGTTGGAACGTGTGGCCTTGCTGAGAGAGAGCGCAGCTGCAGTTGTGATCCGATACACAATGACCCCAAAGACAATGGAGAATGTCAGGGCAATCTGTACAGAGAAGACAGGAGAAGGAGGCAATTACTGAGCAGATAATCACACCCACAGTCAACTCTTGAGCGCCTACTGTTTGTTCGCATCAGCTGCTGGTAAGCTCTAGTTACTCAGTAAGCAACAAAGGACCTGCAAAGCCGCTGAATTCTGTTAATGCATTTTCACTTTTTATCAGATCCCAATAGCCTAAAACACACACAGCACAAATAAAGATGAAAATTCTGAATACTGTGGAGTGTAAAACATATCCTGATTTCCTTAATTCTAGAACTTTCTACTGACTATGTAGATAAGATGAACTCCTTTATATCATAGTAAGAGGTGTGAAATTATTACATGCTAAATGAAGACAGCTGCTGTAGGAACACAACATGGAAATCTGCTTGGACAAAGGATAGCTGTAGAGGAAGTAAACTTCAAGACCATCCATTAAAGAGCATAGGAAGCCACTGAAGATGCTTAAACTTAGAAGGCATGAATTACAGATGAGAGGAAAAGGTTGAGAGCACAGAACAGAGAAATAAGAGACCAATTCAAGTCATGTTGGCACAGAATGGGGTGAATAAAAGCACTGAGTTCCTTTCCAGGCACCTTGTAATGGAAGTCACAGATTCTACTTTGGTATGCAAATCTCTTGTTCCTTTGTCCCAAGGAGGTCTTCCTACCCCTAGATCTCTAAGGTCCACATTACCTCCCCTAGAACACAAGAACAAGGATTCCTCTAGACCTACAGTGCCAACCCTCCTGTGTCCCCACTCCTGTCCAGCTAAGGAAGGACAGTTTGTGGAATCACTAGGATGCCATGAGCAAGAGCTCCCAATCAAGGTTCAGCAAGGGGTGGCTAGAGGATGGCCTCTGTCAGAAACAGGTCTCATTCGGCCCTGCTTCAGTCAAGGTAAGTAATGTTTCACCCTTGCTGCCAATGAGACTCTTCAGGTTCTTGTTGGTCTCTGGGGAAGAAGGGATGGGGCACTGGATATTTAAACTGTGGGGAAAGAAGAGGACAGGTAGACATTTCCCCTAAAATACAAAAGAATGCTGGAGGAGACATTCTGGAGGGTAGGGGAATAGATGGGAGGAGCAGTGAGGAGAGTGGGGGGCTGGGAAGAGGTCTGAACAGTATGCTGTAGGCAGTGTGAATGATACTCTGGTGAGCTTGGAATGAGTTACAGATGTGTCAGCATATACACCCATGCAGACCTCTGGGGTGCCAGCATGCTGAAGCCTCGGGTGCCAATAAGAGACTGGGTTGCCTAGCCTGGTATGATTTATAAATGTTAGCATTTGTCTTGTGGGCCATGGTATAAGAAAGGCAGGGAGGAGGTCTTTCATAATCAAAGGAGTGTTTTTCAATGTGTGCATATGTGTGTGTATGGTGTGTGTGTGTGTGTGTGTGTGTGTGTGTGTGTGTGTGTGTGTGTGCATATGAGTGCGTGCATGCATTTGATTTGGTGTTGGGAGAAGACCAGGGAAAATTGCCAAGGGTCAGTAGGGAAGGAGATGGGGAAGAGATCTCTCCTGGGCTTCCCTGAAAGTGAAAAGAGTAAGTGTGATGCAATCCATGGCCCTAGAGGCTCCATCAACTGGGAGCTTGGTTGACACGCAGAACTTAAGCACAACTCCAGACCCCGGCTTACAATCCATATAGTAAAGGGAGTCCCACCAAAGCAAAGACACCATTCTTTTCACTCCAGTCGCTCTCCCCTCTTGCCCCAACATCACCTTCAACACTATCCCTAACCCTACTTACTCTTTGCAAACTTGTACTTCTGTGGTCTTGATTTTTCTACCCCATGGTAGAAACCAGGTTTGGAATCTCCCCATTGGGCTTTCCCAAAACATCTCTAGATCCACAGAGCTCCCAGGCTTAGAGAACACAAACCTGACTCCATGACTGAGTGTTTTGTAGACAAAGAAACAGGTGTGGAAAAAAGAAATCATTTGCTCTTGGCCACTGGATCATCTGAATCACAGTGGGAATGAAAGAATTGTAGCATTTAGGGGTCATCTATCTACCTACAACCTTCAGTTTTATGCATAAAGAAACTTAGGCCCACGCAGCAGCAACCTGATTGTCCCAAGGTTTGGAAGGCACAAGACAGAGCTGAGATGTTAATGGATAATGGTGGTGTCGTCATCACCACTTTCCCACTGTATCTTCTCCATGTCACTTTTCAAATTACCTCTCCACTTGAGTTCATCCTTATAGCTACCTTGCCTTCTATAAATGAGATTTCATGATGCTCCATGCCTGGACCCTGCCGTGTGGAACACAGTCCACATTCCCATCCTGACGTTTGGCCTCAGGTCTCTTGTCCTGAACTCCAATGCCATTCCCACCACTTGTGGTTGAATTACTGCTTTTAAAAGGCATCCAATAATATTTCTGATAAGTTATCCTCTATGTCACTGCACTGGGACACATCATGTTTTGGGTCTGTCTCCCACAGCTTGGGTAAAGGAACTTGGTCATGTGCCATATTCTACGGATAACACTATTCCATATCAGTGCTCTATATATGAAAGTGGCTTGCTAAAGACTGACTCTTTCAGCCACAAATGACATATCCACACTACACAAGGATGGATTATCTAAGCCCTTATGGGTTTTGCATTTTGGTCCTATAATTTCACCTTTGGGGTATAGAAAAATATTGCAAAATGTTAGGCTGTAGATAGGAAATGTCCCCACAGGCTCGTGTGTCTGAATACTTGGACTTGGAGAACTGTAACGTTTAGAAAGGTAGAGCCTGTAGAAGAAAGCCCATGACTGGAGGTGGGCTTTAAAGAAGGCTAGCAAGGCTCGACTTCCTGTGCTCTGTCTGTTTCCTGGCTGTAGAGACAATGTGGCCAGCAGTCACATACTCCTGCAATCATGTCTTCCCTGCTATCACAGACTGTATCCTTACTTAAACTGTGAGGGAGAAAAACAGGCAAGAACGAGCAAAATTATTACCTATGTCCTAGTTATGTTCAGTTGTCTACTTAATATAGCCTAGAATCACCTGAGACGAAAGCCTTGACTGAGGATTTTCCTAGATCAGACTGACCTGTGGCTATATCTCTAAGGGATGGTTTTGATTATTAATTAATGTAGGATGACCAAGCCTACTCTGGGAGGTATCATCCCTAGGCAGGTGGTTCTGGGATGGTATAAGAAGGCTAGTTTAGCATAGCAAAACAGCTATGGTTCTTTCAAGTTCCTGCTTGTGGCTTTGTGCTGACTGTTGTCAACAATGGGCTGTGACCTGGAAATGCAAGCTCAATAAATCTTTTCCTCCATGAGTTGCTTCTCATCAGTGATTTAATGCAGCAACAGAGAAGAACATGGAGCACTCTCCCCCCTTTAAATTGCTTTTTTGTCAGACACTTGGTCGGAGACATTAGGAATTTTTTTTTTTGGTTTTGCGAGACAGGGTTTCTCTGTATCGTTTTGGAGGCTGTCCTACAACTCACTCTGTAGACCAGGCTGGCCTCAAACTCACAGAGATCCACCTGCCTCTGCCTCCCAAGTGCTGGAATTAAAGGCATGCACCACCAACATCCAACTTGACATTAGGAAAATATTTAATAGACAGTGTAAGCCTGGACATAGAGTTTGAGATTATGAAAGAGCTATGAAGGAGAGACTTCGGGGTCCCCACACTCCGAGACTTGTATTCTGAATGGATGCTGTGAAAAATCACTGTACACATGTAGCAAGGATGAACTTGGAAGCAGTTGGTCTGAGGCCCCAGGCTTCAGGTCATAAGTGTCTGGGATGCTCTTTTGGAGAGCAGGGAAAGGGCAAGAAAACCTTGCAGATTTTTGGAGAGCTTGCTAGGGGGAAAGCTTGGAAAAAGAATATGGAGGAGGAAGAACTTTCTAGAAATAGAGGAAAGCTGCTCAAGGCAGCGGCAACCTCTACTAATCCAGTGGAACAGGGCTCAGCCTGGGGCACAGAATGTGACAGTAGTGCCAGTAAACAAACAGCTTTGTCACTGTGTCACAGCTGCCTCTGACATCCATCTGTAATTTGTTTACTCCTCGGTCTTAACAGATGTCTAAAGGCTAGGTGTCCAGGAGACAGCGCTCAGGGAAATACAAACAACGTAACCAACTGAAAAACGACTCCCCTTGTGGAGTTAGCCCTGTAATAAAGCAATAAATAGGTAAACACAGGGTATCTCAAACTGCCAATGCTCCAACCTCAGTCCCTGCAGTAGTAGGACATACAAGCGCATGCACCTCCATGCTTGGCAACGTTTTTCAGTTCTACAAGGCATGACCAAATTCTTTCCAATCTACTCTTGGGACACTTTTTGAATGACCACAGCAGCCTCCTGCTTGACTGTCCCTCTCCCACACACTTGCCATCTTGACCAGAATTTCTCATAGCACCCAGAGTCCCTTCTGAACTGCGTGTCAGACCATATGTCTCCTTTGCAAACCTTTCTCGAGGGAGTTTTCCAGCAGAGTGAGCCCACTCCTTGCTATACCGCTGTCTCCCTAAGGCCTCTCTGGCCATATTTCAGCCACAGGCACACCCCTCTGTCCTTGTTCATTTCCCTTCTCACTGGGAATCCTACCAGGTACCATATCCCAGAGTCCTTTTCCTTACCCTTCCCGCTGACTCCAAAAATGTCAGTGTGACTGGTTCTTTTACCTATTATAGATCCTTGCTAAAATCTTAATGAGACTTCCTTACTTGACTTATTTAATAAATGCTTTTGTGATTTTAAATTTTGCATTATTGGGAGCGTACAGAACACACACACACACACAGAGATAGATGTAAAAACAAACTCTAGTGTATCGTGCCTGCCTCACATCAAACACAAGATCTCTTATCCAGGCTCTTCCTTTAGTTAGTTCAGTGACAGTCATTTCTTTCTTCATTTTCACTATTCTGTTACTTAAGCATACCTCTTTCTGAACATTGTGTTATAACAATCAAACCATGTATATTCTTTGTCATTTTTTTTGTCACCCATGCTGTTCTGTATGGTGATTAGCTTGTTCATCTTCATGGCTACGTGGTCCTTAACTGTGTAAATAGAGCTCGGTTTATTTATCCATTCTTGTGGGGATAGGCATATGGACTGTTAGCAGTTTGGGGCTATTATAAACAGTGTTTCACAAATTTTTCCCTATGTGTACTTTGCTGTGTGTACACATAAGATTTTCGAGGGCATGCACCTAGGTGTGGAATTTCAGGACTCTGGGCTTTAAGTCTCAGTTTTACTAAGTAATGCCAGAATGCTTCTAAAGGCATCTTTAAATAATTTCTTAAATGAACTCCTACCAGGATTGTACAAGTTTCTTTTGATCTAGATCTTTCCCAACACTTGTTATTGACAGACTTCTTAATGACAAGATGTCTGTTGAGTGCACATGGTGTTTCACCATGGTTTAAATTAGAATTTCCATGAATACTAATGTAAGCTTGCTGGTCACTGGAGTTTCTCTTTTGGGAAGTGCCTATGGAGGTAGTTTTTTGAGTTTTTATTGAATTTTCTTGAGTTTGTAATTCTTTAGAAATTTGAGACCAGTGTTTGGTAGATTACAGTTTTAAAGAATTTAATGAACTTTAAGCTTGCCACAGTCCTTATTTTCACCCCTCATGCTTCCCATAAAACCACCCAAGCCAAGGCCTTTCCTAGACATGGAAAATGCCCTTAAAGGGAGAGCATCCTTAGTGCAAAGATGTCTGCTCTATTGTTTCTACATCTCCTCCAGATTTTAGCCCAGGGCTGTTAATATCCTTTCAGCCTTTGAAGTCTTTAATGAGATTAGAAATATACTTACCCAGTATTTTTCACTAAATTCAGCAACATAGGTGTTACAAAATCCTACTGCACCGCTACTAAGACAGAAGTTGATTTTATTATGTATTTACTTATCACATGTAGAGCATTTTAAGCTATCTTTATTTTCAGTCCAGGCTGGTGAACTCAAAATCCTCCTGTCTCAGCTGCCCATGTACCAGGGTTACGGGTGTGCACTGCCACTCTCACCTTATCTATAAACTCCTTTTTAATATCATTGTCTTTCATCTCCACATTGTCTGGCCCCTAAGGATAGTATTAAGCACACAGCTGTATCCATTATGTACTTCTCCGGTGAAGAAACTTTCCCACAGCCAAATGCACCTTGCGGGAGGCACAGGAGCGCTGAATTGGTTAAACTTTCTACCATCACACTTTAACTGACTGCAGCTCACTGCACTCTTAAATAATCCCCCCAGGCCTTGGGCCTGTTTGGCAATGAGAGGAAAACAAATTTAGACTGCTAAGCTTTGACAACTCGGCACTTTGTCTGCAGAAGAAGGTCTTGAGTTTGATGATGTCTAAGCTAAGAACATTTGTATTTTGGACAGGGTCTCACTACGTATCCCAGGCTGGCCTCAAATTTGAAATCCCCTGCCTCTACCTCCGGAATGCTGGCATTATAGGAATGTGACACCAGGCCTGGCACGTTTTAAATTTTTGAGACTACATGTTTCCTGTCCCTGTTAGTTATGATGCCAATAATAATAAAAACAATGAACTCAAGCCAGGTCAGGATTAAGTCTTGCCAGTGGGTTCAAAAAATGAGGATGCTTCTTGCAGTTTTTGAAACTCAAATAATCCCCTTCTTTTCTATACTACATATGTAGTCTGGTCCAGACACACTGAGCTGCTATGCCCACAGTCTGCATTATGAAGCCAAGCATCTACTCTTGAAACCTACTGCAAGGGAAACTCCCAGGAATCTATAAGGATGATGCCAGCTAAGACTCCTAGCAATTGCTGACATGTAGCCTGAACTGGTTTGCCACCTTCTGTGACCAGGCAACACTTCCCGTGGAGGAGTGGGACACTAACCCAGTCACATAGCCTTTGACCTACAGTCTGTCCTGCCTATAGGATAAGGGTGGCACAGAGATTTGTGGGAGTGGCCAATCAATGACTGGTCCATCCTGAGACCCCTGCCATGAGGGTGAACCCACCCCTGACATTGCCTAGTGCACCAGAACCCAGAGGCTGAATGGGGAAAATATCAATACAATGATGTTTAACAATATTCTGCTATGAGAATAGATTGGTGCCTAGCCCAATAGTCATCAGAGAGGCTTAGTCTAGCAACTGATGGAAGCAGATGCAGTGAACCACAGTCAAACATTAGGTTGAAATTCGAAAATCATGCTGAAGAGAGGGAAGAAGGACTATAGGACCTATGGAGGACAAAGACATTGCAAGGAAACCCACAGAAACAACTCACCTGGGGTCATAGGAGTTCAAAGAGACTGAACCAACAACCAGGGAGCCTGCGTGGGACTGACCTAGGCACTCCACATATATGTGACAGTTGGTCTTCTTATGGAATTCCTAACAGTGGAAGCAGGGACTCTTTTACTGGCTTTTGGGACCCCATTCCTCATTCCATGTTGCCTTACCCAGCCTTAATATGTAGTGGGGTGTTTAGTCATACTGCAACTTGATATGCCATGTTTTGTTGATATTCATGGGAGGCCTGCCCTTTTCTGAATAGAAACTGAGGAGGAGTGTATTGGGAGAGCAGAGAAAAGTTGGGGGGAAGGGACTGAGAGGAGAGAAGGAAGGGTAACTGTGATCAGGATGTAAAATTGATCAATTAATTAAACAAAAAAGGAAGCTATGCAGGGTTTCCCACTGAAGACAGTCAGATGTTAGTGACCCAATGAGGTCCTTTGGTAACCTTTTGCGAGGTCTTCCAGCATAAATTGCTAATCTGACTCCACCATGAATCAATCTCAGGCTCTTCCTTTGGCCTTTCCCAGCACTGCCAATATCATTAAGACTCAAAATGAACAAACAAATAAATAAAAAGCTCTCACAATCCCAGGGAAATAAAAGAAAAACAAATGCAATATTCATAGAGACACTGAAGACTGTGAGACCAGCCCGCTCTCTTCTGTGGCTTTCAGACACTGTTAGAATCAGAGAGAGTCACCCCATCCCACTCCAAGGACATTGCAATTTATCCATATATAGTCAGTGACCTCAATATTGGAAAGCTCTTGCTCCGCCATTCAGGACTGTGGCCTCACCTTTGTCAGCCCCTTCTTATTCCACAGCATAAAAACATAAATGTCCACATCACACACACTCACAACAGGATCAACATACATACAGTCCCAGACAAGTGGTCCCTCAAAGAAATTACCATGAACAAGATGGAGGCAAAGTTCATCAAGTATCCTGGGAAACGGTCTTTCCAGGTCAGTTTGTCTTCATCATCCTGGGATGAAACAGGAAAAGTAGAGACAATCAGAAGGCACAAAGAACAGATACTGATGCACTCCTATTTGAAATAAATTTGCATATCAGCTATTTGTTGCTTTATGGATATTTCAGTAGCAATTCTTGCTCTTAATATCAACAATAGCTCTCTAATTTTGATTGACAGCACCCACCTGAAATCCCAGGACCCAAGATGCTGAGGCAAGAGGATCATGACTTTGATGCCAGCTTGGCAAATATGTCTCATAGACTGGAAAATGTTTAGAATGGAGACAGCCGTTCTGACAACCACAAAAGGCTGTGAAGACTGTCTGAAGCCATCCTTGTGAGGTGCAGAGAAAATGGCCAAGCACATTGTGTTAGCCAGCAGGGAACCACTCATCACTGTAAGCAACAAGTCAGAATCAAACTCAGCAAGGCAGGACCCCTGGCTGCTGCTCCCTTCCCTCTCCATCTCAGAACCGACCTGACTTGGCTCTAGCAACAGTGCCATCTAGCCTCAGAAAGCTTGTACTGTAAGCTGAGCTTTTTGGGCCTAAAGCTTCTTTACAGCATCTTTTGCGTGCCCATGTCGGTGCCATGCACAATAAAGAGACCAAAGAAAGTCCTTATGGACGCTGTCCTGGAGAGTTCACAGCCTGGAGAAACAGACACTCCCGAAGGGTGTAGAATCATCGGGCAGTTTGGGAGTGAGGGCATGAGCTGCGAGGACTGTAGAGAAGGAAGAATTTGCTTGTGTGTCTGGAACAAGTGTAGGGTTGAACTGACTTGATGGATGATACTGGAAATCATGCTGTGGTGGAAGTCACTTAGTTCTTTGCACTTTTACTTATGGGTGATGTAAATCCGTCTTATGCTCAGGTTTTCATAACAACCAAAGTATCTGGTCTCAGACTCCTAGCCCACCCAGCTTTTCTTCATACCATAAGAACACACTAAATGCTAGATGCTGAGCATTCTGGAGGTATAGAAGCACAGAAACCTGTTTCCAATCAGACCTAACCAAGATTCCTTCACCTTCACTCAAGGGAAGCTTAACAGAGAGTGGGAGTTCTTGCTTCCTTCCTTCCACACTCTGGGTCCACTAGCACACAAATGCCTTCCAACCCTGAAAATATTCTCCTCTAAGACACTGGTAAGGAAACCCGGAGGTGGGCTGAGGACACAGCTCCAAAAAGAAAACTGCATTCATTCGGGAGCTCTGCCTGTGGCCTTCCAAGGCTATAGATAGGATCTTGATGAATGTGTCTGGGTGGAGTTCATTCATCAGACCCAGCCTGAGCACTGTTGATGGAGCAGGCTCTGGATGGGTGCTGAGGACACAGAGAGGAGAAAGCTCAGAGGGCCCAGGACTAGTACAGAGATCTTCAGGACCACGGAGACTAGATGGAGACATAAGTGAGACCAGGAAAAAGGTTTTCACTGTTTTGTATGAAAGAAAACAGCAAAGGAGCGTTGAGTTAGATGCTGTCAGGAGAAAAGCATTTATTTATGACATAAACATTCTTGAGTTGTTGGAAGATCACCCCTTTCATGTTTACGGTGGTGGGGTTTTGTTCGGAAGGCACACATCCTAGCAAACACAGTTCTCATGCCTCCAGACACTATCCAAACACAGGAAGCTGAGAGAAAAGTCAAGATTACACACTGTCCCCCAAACTACCTTACTCATAAAGAGAACAGTGGAAAAAGTAGTTTGTTTGTTTTGTGTTTTAGTTTTAGAGACAGGATAGTCTTATGCAACACAGGTTGACCTTTAATTCACAATCCTTCTGCCTCTGTCTCCTGACAGCGATCTCAATCATGCCCCACATACCTGGCAGGAAGCAGTTTTTAATGACAAGAATTTGACACTAATAATAAAAGAAGCCGTCTATTCACTGGTCCAAGCAAGATGCAGAGTCACTGTAAAGTTTATTAAATTGAGTACCCTCTTCCTGAAAGACACATTGCCAGCGTGTGGAACAGCAGAAAGGCAAGTTGAATTTGGACCAGAACCTATCAATTCTGAATTTTGGGCTCTGAAACACTTACTATGTCAGCAACCTTAGTAACTTAATTGTGTGTGTGTGTGTGTGTGTGTGTGTGTGTGTGTGTGTGTGAGAGAGAGAGAGAGGGGGGGGAGGGAGAGAGGGAGGGAGGGAGAGAGAGAGGGAGGGAGGGAGGGAGGATATGTGGCGGATATGTGGAGGCCAAGGAACAACTTCTGGCGCTGTCCACATTTTAATTGAGATAGGATCTCTCACTGACCTAGAACTTGACATGTAGGTTAAGCTGGCTGGCCAGCAAGTCCCAGAAATCTGCATATATCCCTTTCCAACATTGGCTGTTGTTTTAAATACGGGTTCTGGGATCAAACTCAGATCCCCATATTTATATAGCAAGCACTTTGCAGACTGGGCCGTCTCAGATAGCCTCACAGCAGTTTCTCTACTGCAAACTAGTCATATTCCTGATTTGTAAAACAATTCTAGACATCACACTAAATTAGCATGCCTTTTAAAACAAGCCCATCTAAGCAGAGGGTCGGGAGAACTGCAGGAATACAGGAGGAACTCTTAGACTCTCTAATCTTGAATGATGATGACAAATCCAGTCTCACTGAGGTGGCAGAGTATTGTTTGTCACATGAGTAAATGCACGTGACAAAGCTTTAGAAACTGCATGGTACACACAACGGTGAGCTCTAATCAGTTTTGATTCCATCAAAAGCAGGTGATTATGGGGCACTTAGCTAATGTCACCATTGTTTAGACACCAGCCTTGCTGTCATCTGCTCTTATTTCTTTGTCCCTGCTGTCTATGTTTGTGTCCCTGGACTACTGTTCCCATTTACAGCTATCTGCTCAACAAATAGGACAATAATATCTACATAGGCCCTTCTGGCAAACTGGATATTTAGAAATGAAGCCAGTAAGAGAGCAATAGGTGAGAACACTATTTCAATAAACCCCTGGGAGGAAAGGGACAGTGACAAAGTGCCAATTGTCCCTGAGAGGTTTTTCACATCAAGATAGTAAAATTCATCTTTATTAGAATGCAATTCTGCATATTGTGATGACTTTTTGCAGTCATGAACCTACAACCACAAAGCAGATCAAAACAGAAATAATTTTTATCACTCTCCAACATTTCCTTCCTCCCTCTTTGATCTCTGTCCCCAGTCCCCAGAACTAGTAAAGTCTGTTTAATGTTTAATGTCCCTCTAGTTTTGGTTCTTCAAAAATGTCACTAGGTAACTGCAGTGTGCAGCTCCTTTCGAGTTTGTCATCTTTCACTCAGCGCAGCCCATCTGCGATTTATCCCTGCTGCTGCATAGCTCAGTGGCTTCCCCACTTCCTTGAGGTGTGGCCTATATTTCATCATGTGGATGGATATCAGCCCACTCACTTACTCACCGCCCTGGGGGATGTTTGGGTTGTTTCCAGCTCATAACAATTAGGAATGAAGCCCTTCCAAAATTTGTATACAAACATAAAATGTCATGTCCCTTGGGCAAGTGTCAAAGTAATGTACTTGCTTGGTCACATTGTAGGTCTGTGTTTGACATTTTAAGAAGAAGCCACCAAACTGTTTTCTAAAGGGCCCAACACACCTCTATCAATAATAATATGTGATAGTTCCTTGCTTTCTTTAAACACATTCCTTTAGAATAGATTGTTTATTAAAAAAACCTTCAAAGACAATAAAGAGAATTCTTTATACTTGTATCTAGATTCTCATGTAAGTTCAGCACATTTCTCACAACTCAAGAACCAATATCACACAACATTATGAACTAAAAATTAATACTCCATTTATGTTGTCTTAGTTCAGTGCCTGCCTCCTGGGCCAGAGTTGCAACCAAGGTATGATATTTTATTTGGTCATCCCTCCCTTAGGTGCTTTTAGACATAAAAGCCTCTCCGACATAGCTTGCTGTTGATGACCTTGTCAGCTTGGAAATGTACTGATCAAGTGCTTTGTTGAAGGACCCAAAACATCATCTTGATTTGAGGTTTTGTCTGAGTTTATATGTTTGAGGGAGAAAGACCATAGATCAAGGACCATTTTTATCACATCCTCTCAGGGGTATAGACCATGATGCACCCTGTCACTAATGATGCTAACCCTGATTACTCTGAGAGGTTTCCTTCCTGCCCTACCCCCAACCCCAATTCTGCACTTTGTTCCTTAGAAGGAGGTACCCACCTTCATCTTTGAAGGTATGGAGTTGCATTTCCATCTTCAGGGAACCAATATCTACAGGCACACGCAAACATATATATGCTATATATATATATATACATATATTTTATGTGTGTGTGTTTAGTATACATTTTTAAATGTATTGAATGTCAGAAAAGAATGGCTATAGGAAGATAGACCCAATCTTTCTCCAAACTCTAAAAAAACTAATAAAACACCAAATAACTAAGACGATAAATGCCAAGCCATCAATAAGCATCATGCGCAGGTTAGAATTGGCTTTGGGCTTCAAAGAAAGTTGGCCTCTTCCATTTTCTTCCTTCCAGGAGGCCTACAATGAACAGAGGCCAGGCAGCAGCAACATCTGGACTCATCTGCCTCCTCACCTGCAGGATATGAACAAGAACAGCTGGAATAGGAATGGAGTGCTCTTGTTCAAATAATCGTATACCAAGCCTGTATTCCTGAGAGTACTGGAGACAGTATCCAAAAGAGGGAAAGAATCCAATAGATAAGGAAATGCAATACCTTGCAGTCATCCCTGTGCCAACCTCAGGATTAGCTAAGCATCTTTGGGTGTTGTTATTGTTTGGTTTCTCTGAACAATATTACAGTGTCCTCTAGAAAGAGGCAAGTGGAAAATGGTGGGTGGGGCACTGGGGATACAAAGAAGAACTCACAGATTTTGTCCCCAAGAAACCTCAACTGTGGGGGAAACAAATGAGAAATGACACAAAGATTGACACAAATTATGGCATGGCATAATACATGCAGAATGCCATGGAAACAGAGGACTGGGTGATTTCTTATTTGTTATTAAAGGTGATGCTGTCTCAGACAAAATGATGGGGATATTCCAGAGAAAGCATCTGTAAATTTTAGGATGTCATTGTTTCTTACTGTTGAATAGTACTCTGTTGTGTAAATATACCACATTTGCTTTATCCATTCTTCAGTTGAGGGGCATCTAGGCTGCTTCCAAGATCTGGCTATTACAAATAATGTTGCTATGAACAAAGTTGAGTAGATGTCCGTATGGTATGAATGTGCCTCTTTCAAGTATATGCCCAACAGTGGCATTGCAGTGTCTTAAGGTAGGTTGATCCCTAATTTTCTGAAAAATTGTCATACTTATTTCCATAGCAGCTGTACAAGTTTGTACTCCCACCAGCAATGGAGGAGCGTTCCCCTTTCTCCACATCCTCTCCAGTATAAGCTGTCATTGGTGTTTTTGATCTTAGCCATTCTGATTGGTGTAGGATGTTGAACATTTTGTTAAGTGTTTTTCTGTCATTTGAGATTGTTCTGTTGAGAATTCTCTATTTAGATCTGTATCCCAGTTTTTTATTGGATTATTTGGTAGTTTGATTTTGAGTTTTTTGAGTTATTTGTATATTTTGGAGATCATCCCTTTATCAGATGTGGGGTTGGTGAAAATCATTTCCCATTCTGTAGGGAGTCATTTTGTCTTGTTGACCATGTTCTTTGCTTCACAGAAGCTTCTCAATTTCAGGAGGTCCCGTTTTTTAATTATTGCTCGCAGAGTCTGTGCTACTAGTGTTCTATTTAGGAAGTGGTCTCCTGTGCCTATGTGTTCAAATGTATTTCCCATTTTCTCTTCTATGAGGTTCATGTGGATGGATTTATATTGAGATCTTTGATCCATTTGTACTTGGGTTTTGTGCATGGCAATTGATATAGATCTATTTGCATTCTTCTACATGTTGACAGTCATTTATACCAGCACCATTTGTTGAATATATTTTCTTTTTTCCATTCTATATTTTTAGCTTCTTTGTCAAAAATTAGGTGTTCATGGGTGTGTGGGTTGACACCAGGGTCTTCTATTTGATTCTATTGGTCTACCTGCCTGTTTGGCTGTCCTGGGTTTTTTGTTTTTCCATATGAAGTTGAGTATTTTCTCTTTTGAGGTCTGTGAAGAATTGCACTAGGATTTTGATGGGAATTACCCCTAAATTGAACCCAAGAGCCTTCTAGAGGCAGAAGCTTTTATGTACAGGGTGTTAGTTTCTTTGAGGACTCTTTTGCAAAGGGACTAGGGACAATCACATGGCACAGCACCTAAGTCCACAGGCATGCCTACAGCCCAGGACAAAACACAGTGTAATTTTGTGGCTAAAGTGGAAAACATTATCTGTTGCTCTCACTGTTCAGTTTTCCCAGAAGACACAGAAAACCGCTCCCTGAGGTCCTGCTCATTTCCTCTGGCTCCCCAGAGAACTTGCTGTTTCAGTGTCTGTCTCTCAAGCTAGCTGCCTGCTCCATCTGGGGTGCAGCAGTAGAATGAACGCCTCTCTCTCTGTTCTCCTAATGCCAGCTGCTCTGTTAGGTACCCGCCTAGATTCCTATCAGAGACAGCTTCTCCCCACTCAATTTCTCAAGGGGAGAAACAGTGGTCTCATGAGTCTCAAAAGGGTCCTAATAATACGAGGGTAAGGGACAGGAAAGTTTTTGTTCTTCTCCAGGACTTGTGTACAAAAGGAAGAAGTAGGCTGAAGCCATTAGTAACCTTCCTCAACACAATTCATATGAGACTTCACTATACAATCGTATCTAGAATAGCACACAAGCACTTAAGACACACCTGAAGTCTGTCATGGGGACAGCAAGGTTCCATATGCTCTCAGCTCAGGCTGCTCTCTAACCCAGTCTCCTCCTGTGCAGTCCTTCACTTACTCTGTTCCTGTCACACTGGCCTCCTTCCTCTTCTTTGAACCTACCAGACTGATTTCCTCATGGAACCTCTGTGAAGCCCCTTTGCCTACTGTTCACCCTGCTGGGCCCTCTGAATATTCTTCAGAGAGGGTGCTGCCCAATCCTCTAAGACACCCCTTGCCTTTATTATTATGCATCACAATCTACATCACATCATTATCTACAACAAGGGTTCTCAACCTGTAGGTCATAACCCTTTTGAGGGTTGAATGACCCTTTCACAAGGTGTTGCCTAAGACCATCATAGAACACAGATGTATTTACATCCTGATTCATAACAGTAGCAAAATTACAGTTATGAAGTAGCAATGAAAATAATTTTATGGCTGGGGCTCACCACAACACAAGAATTGTATTAAGGGGTCACAGCATTAGGAAGCTACCCTGTTTATCTCCTGTTTTTCTCTAAACCCCTGGGAAGTAAGAAGCCTGCAAATACAGTATACTGCCTGCCATGAGGACTTGGATTATGCAGATCTGTGGATCTGCGGATGGATGAGTAGGTGTCTCTCTGGAAACAATCATCTTGTTCACTTCACTACCACTCAGTGCTCATAGGCTTACAATTGAGTGTCAAGCCACTGGGTGGATAGAATCTAATTTCATATCAGAACAGAAATAGCCCACAAAACCTCTTTGCCACTTCTTAGAATGTATATCAGTACCAGTCTTGTGTAGCTGTCAAGAAGGAAAAGAAGGACATGTAAGATACTCAGTAACCTGTCAGTATTTTTAAGAAAAATGGCCAACTATATGTCCCACAGGCAGGTGTAGAAAGAATAGTCACTGTTAAGTAATATAGTGAAGAGGTTTAGCTTCCAACATTGCCTGGCAATGTGTTCTGATGAACCTTGCTTTCATACAGGCGGGAAGGACATAGCCAGTGGCACAGTGAAGACCTTTGCAACATTGACTCTGAAGTACCTGTCATCCACTTAGGTGAGGTAATTCTGTTTCTCAGTCTAATCTCTAGCTTCATGTGCCCCCTTTCCTCCCCCCTTACATTCTAGCCACAGAATGGAGAACTGATCTGCAGAACATTTTTTTTTCTGTAGATTTGACTCATGAAGTCTCTCTGGGATAGCTTGAATATGAAACATCCCTCAATGGCCCATGGGATTAAACATTTGGTCCCCAGCTGCTAACATTGTTTTGGGACATTGTGAAAGTGGGGCCTAAATAGAGGACACTGGAGAGAGGAAATGGTAGGCCTCAAAGTTTATGCACCAGCCTTCCCTCTCTTTCTCTGTGTCCTGATCTTCCCTATGTGAATGAGCTCCTGCTACCACATCCATAGCCTGCACTTGCCACCATGTCTTCTCTGCCATGATGGACTAGATACATTCAAACCACAAGTCAAAACAAAATTTTCCCTCCGCAAATTGCTTTTTATCTCAGCAATATAAACATATCTAATTTAGAAAGTTAGTACCAAGAAATGTGTCCATTTGAGTAATAAATCTGATCGCTCAGCCTATGGGATGCTGGAATGGTGGAAGAGTTTGTAGCTGTGGGCTAGAGCCCCACAGAACGATATGAGCGGAGCTTGAAAAGGAAGTCTGGTGAGAGCAGGAGATGAGAATGGTTCTAGTAAAGGAAGATGGGTAAGGTTTCAAGGAAGAGTAAGGACTCTATGAGCAACTTGGATAGAGACTATTTACATTGAATTCAGGTGAAGAACCTGGCTGCATTCTGCTGGTGTCCAGAAAATCTGAGTGAAAGAGAATTCAAAGCATCAGGATAGCATGCAGACTCTGGTGTGGTTACTGCTCACTGTGTTTAGTGAGGTTTATAGTGAGAATCCAAAGCCAGGAAAAAGAACAAAATGATGTAGAAATGTAGCATGTGGAAAGCAAAGGAACACAAACATAATTGAAGTTTCGGACAGGGCAGACAGGATGGGTCAGGTAAAGTGAGTATAATCCCTACAGAGATAAGTGCTGCTAATGAGACTTTCCACACTCATCACCAGGACAAAAGGAGCAGCGCCTCAAGGTTAAGATTCTGTCTATGTCAAAGACTCCAAGTTGTGAAAGTGAAAATTCACCCGAAAAGGGAGTACCCAGAGAGTGTCTGAAGAGACAGAGCCTCTGGGGCACCTGCTGTGGTGGGTCTGCTTAGCATAGCCCCCAGGGGAGAGTCTCCTGCTGCCACTGTCCAGAAGGGCCAGGCTATTTCCTGATCTGAAAGCAAACTTTGTAACATTTAGTTGATCCTGACTATGCAGGCATGCAGGATACAAGAGTAAGGGGACTGGAGAGAGGGTTCCAGAAAGGCCCCAGAAAAGCCACCATGTCAGGCAATATGCAGAAGGGTCAGTTTCCCATTCGTGGCTCCTGTGCATGAGCTCTGAAAGTGAAGCCAGAGTTACAAGAGACTCCAGAATACTGGAGACACCTGAAATGTGGGGCCTTCTTCTTGAGGTGAGCTACTGGTATCGGGTGGAAAGGAGGTACAGCTGACACAGCCAACAGCCCTGGAAGGGCAGAGCCAACTTAGCCTCTTAGACAATGCCATCATGAGCCCCAGACCTTGGGCATGGAGCTGCAAAACTTAGCTTTTATCTTGCTGAGTCTTAGTCTTGCTTTGGTCCAATCTTTCCTTGTTGTCTTCCTGTTCCTTCCTTCCTTTGGAATGGGAACATTTTTACTCTATGGCATTGGATATTAGAAGTACTTAACTTTTATTGTTTTACTTAACAGGAGTTAACATCTAAGAATGTACTTGAGTCTCCTAGAAGACTTCAAACTTCTTAACACTGTTGGAACTGTAAGACTATGAGGATTTTT